GAAGTTGTAAAGAGACTCTTTAGATCATTCATAATGGGCACTTGTGATGCTTTCTTGGGGTGCCCAGGACTCAGCATCCCCCTATTACCTCCCTGTCTCTAGCTAAGGGAAGAATTATTTGTATAGTACTTACCTGACTTTTAGCTCCTTGATGCCTCTAATCTGTTAACCAGCCAGACAATCTCCAATGCTATCCCTCACTTTGACTCGCAGCTTAACAATAATGTACTTTAGTTCTTCAGCACTGAGAGAGCATCATAGTAATATAAACCTCACTTATCATTTCATTCACTTAGTTTAGCTTTCCCAAAAAGTTTAAATCTTTTTGTAAAGTTTGCAGGAAACCATTCAGTCATTGGAGCTAAGCAAATGACCGGGTCAGGCAGCATAATTTAAAACAAATATTCAGAATGTTCAGACAAATCGCTCAAATGGGTGATTTTAAGATACACTTTTCAAAGAGAAATAGTTGTCACGCTGCACAATTTGGAGATTAACAAAAACATTTTTACTAACAATTCACTCAGTGGTCTCCAACCTTTTTAAGCATAAGATCACTTTTTGAATTTAAGTGCAATCCAGGATCTACCTCAAGCCCAAACACCCTTGCCCCGTCTCCTTCCCACTCCTTCTCTGAGGCCCCATCCCTGTTCACTCCATCCTCCCTCCCCCATCCTCACTCGCTTTTATCAGGCTGGGGCAGAAGCTTGGGGTGCAGCAGGGGTTCAGGACTGGGGCCAAGGTTTGGAATGCAAGCTCCAGCTGGGCACCACTCACCACACGTGGTTGCTGGGTGGTGGTGCAGAGGACTAAGGCAGGCTTACCCTTACCCTGGCCCTGTACCACTCTCCAAGCAGCCAGCAAACTCTCTGCATCCCTGACCCCCTCTGCTCTGTGGAGATGGGGTACAGGGTGGACACCCTGACATCATCACCCTTTCCTCTTCTTCCTGTGCACCTCACAACACGCAGGAGGCTCCTAGGGGTGAGGGGCACCTCCAAGGCACAGGGCAGGAGCAGCACAGCAGTGCTGAGAGGGGCAGATGAAGTGCCAGCACTTGATAGCCTCCCAGCTGAACCTCTCGGGATCACCTATCAAAGGTTCCAAGATCTACCAGTAGATCCCGAAATACTGATTGATGACCACCGCTCTACTGCATGTGCAATATAGAACATTAAGTCATATTTTAGTTGTGTAATGCCTCTAGTACAGAGGTTCCCAAACTGTGGGTCAGGACCCCAAAGTGGGTCGTGATCTGTTTAATGGGATCACCAGCTTCGACTTGCCAAGGCCCAAAGCCTAAGTGCCACTGTCCCAGGCCAAAGCTGAAACTTTTGTGTTTTAGTCCTGGGTGGCAGGGCTCAATTTATAGTCTCCCTGGCTGGGGTGAAGCTCTTGAGCTTCCTGTGTCCATGAGGATGCTAGAGCTCAGATTCTAGTCCTCCATCCTGAGATGGTGGTCTTTGGTGAGTTCAAGCTTCAGTCCCTCTCTTGGGGCCATGTGGTAATTTTGTTGTTACTTGGGGGGGTCATGGTGCAATGAAGTTTGAGAACCCCTGTTCCAGTACTGTGATGTTCTGCATATTAAGTTATGGAACTGCTTAGGACCGTGCTGTCTGGAGTGGTTCACTACCCTGAGTGCCACCCTCAGGGCAGACTGTCAAAAAGCAAGGCAAACACCCCCAGATGGTTATAAGTTCTATAATTAGAGCTCACCAACTTTCCAACAAATGCAAACTCCTGAAGCACAATAACAGTTTTACCATGTATCAGAGGGGTAGCCGTGTTAGTCTGAATCTGCAAAAGCGACAAGGAGTCCTGTGGCACCTTATAGACTAACTGAAGTGTAGGAGCATAAGCTTTCGTGGGCAAAGACCCACTTCGTCAGATGCATGTAGTGGAAATTTCCAGAGGCAGGAATAAATATGCAGGCCAGGATCAGGCTGGAGATGACCAGGTGGATCCAATCAAGGAGGATGAGGCCCACTTCTAGCAGCTGATCTGGAGGTGTGAATTCCTTATCCTGGCCTGCATATTTATACCTGCCTCTGGAAATTTCCACTACATGCATCTGACGAAGTGGGCCTTTGCCCACAAAAGCTTATGCTCCTACACTTCAGTTAGTCTATAAGGTGCCACAGGACTCCTCGTCAGTTTTACCATGGAGTCACATTCCACCCCTTCAGCATTCTAGACTATTTTGCCACCCAGGTGAGCTGAACCCCATGAATGCAGGGTTATGACCTATTTTGGGGTCCCAACCCACAGTCTGAGAACCCCTGTACTAGAGGTATTACACAATTAAAATGTGACTCCTTTTTTTAGGGCTAACCCAGGTTAACCCTAACCCTCTGTTTCATAGCTTCAGTTTAGTGAGAATGGAGATGGCAGAAGAGATGAAAAATTTAGTCCACCTCTATTTCCTTCTTCCAGAGTTCAGGCTGATGAGACAAGCCCTTTTTGCATATAGTATTTTCATTGGTGCAAAGGGGCAATTAACATAGTCTTTGTATTGTGATGTTCTACAAGGGTCCATTTAGTTTTGATAGGGCCTCTTAATGATCAGGAAACAATCCCATATAACAGGTTGGCAGTTTCAGAACAAACATTTCTTAAATAAAACACTTAAATATTACCCTAGAGCATGTGATAAGGATACTATGAGCAGAATCAATACGTGTAGCACTTTGGGAGTATTCCATAACATTTGAACACTAAATGCATTGTGATGAGTCCAATATTCATCTTATGAACTCGTCCAATGAATTTGTCAGTGCTTGGCTGAAGCCAAAAGCCTGGCCAGCATTGGTACGTGGTCTGTTAGCATCACATTTGGAACTATAAATTGCATTTCTATAGCATAAGCAATGTATTTTCAAATCTATTCATCAGGCATAATTGATTTATTCTTGAATACATTTTTCCTTTTGTTCCCTCCAGAAAAACGGGGTGTAGGCGGAGCTATGTGTAATTATAGTACAATTATGAGGAAATAAAATGTCAGCAAATGCAAAATTAAGGTTGCTGTAGCAATAATAGCTTGCACATATTGCCCACAATGTGGTTTTCTGGATTATTATTTTTCTGTAGTATTGCTTATAAATTGCCTTTCTTCCCATTCTGCAAGTCATTGCAAGTAATTTTATTGATGTAAATCCTAATGACTCCATACTGACGGTACAAATCAAAACAAAGACACAATCCCAGAGCAGGGCCGATTAACATCTAGTAGTCCCATTATCTTTTAAGGGACGATTCATACACTTTAATACACCTGGTAATAAGTTGCAAGATGGTCCAAAAAAAAAGATGAAAGTCTTTAGGCTTGATCCTACAAACATTTATGTGAGTAATTTTGCTGTTTTGAATTGTCCCATTAGATTAGGGGTGGGGGACTTTATTGGGGTTGGGAGCCACTGACCCACAGAAAAATCTGGGGCCACATACAAATGAGAAGAAAAAACCAAAAACCCTCACTAACTTGGCCCCTGACTGATACTCCCCACATTCCCCTTGTACTCCACAGCCTAGAGGGGCCCAGCCTAGGAGATTTTTGTGTGCTCCAGCCCTGAGGGGGTTAGGGCTAAGCTAGGGGCTGCATCCAGCCCCAAGCCTGAGGTTCCCCACCCCTGTATTAGATCAACCCATGCCACTAGAGCCATAATTACCAACTCCATGGATGCTCTGGTGATGGAGCATGCCCAGAGAAAAATTAGTGGGCGATCAGCACCTACCAACAGTCATGCTCCCCTACCGTGCTTCCCTCCCTCTTACACCTCTTGCTCACTGTGCTTTGGGAGCACCAGAAACATCTGATTCGTGGGATTCCAGGAAGAAGGAAGAGGAGTGGGGATGGAGTAGAAAGAGGCAGAGAATTGGGGAATGGGGTGGAATAGGGGCAGAGCAAGGGCAAGAACAAGAGGTGGGGTGGAACCTTTGGGAAGGGATGGAGTGGGATTGGGGCCTGGATCAGAAAAAGGGGTGGGGGAAGGGTTGAGCAACACCTGGCTAGAAGGAAGATTGGTGTCTGTGACTGAAACTAATGTGGGAGGATCTGCTTAAAAAGTGCTGATTTTATTAAAACTGATGGCACAATAAGGCTGATTGATGTCAGTTGCAGGATGAAGCCTTAAGGTTATATATTCGTCATGGCTGTCACAGGAGTTGCCAATTCCTGTGGGTTTTTTTTTTTCATGTCTTAAAACAAATATCCACAACTTGCACATTTTGAAGCTCTTGCAAGTGGGAGGGTGTGATGATAGTAACAGAGTTCCTAGTGAGCCCCAGGGCTGCCCCATTAAACACTAGGGTGCACAGAGGAAGTCTCATAGTGAGTGCTTGTGGTTGGCCACAAGTGTATGCTGTATTAAATGAACGCTTTATGTATAACTGTGGGCTCACTTATGTAACTTCTCAAGTGGGAGGCAAATGCAAATTCCCAACTTCCACTCCAGTTATGCAAAAGCCCAGCCTTTTGAAGTTGCATCCAAAGGAGAGGGGCACTGCTTGTTGGCTTCCTGTTTCTGGTGCTTCAAGATCAAAGGCCCGTTGCGTATAAAGGAAAGACTAACCTCTTCTTCATAACAGTAATTCTCACCCACGGATGTTATGTACTCATAACCACAGAAAACTGCCATGATGAGGCTTGAATGAACAATGCTCTTGTTGGAGTTGTAGGACAAGCTCTGATAAGCTTATTAGCTAGCAAAATGTAGGCAGGCAACTATGAAGCCTGGAAAAACTCCAACCATGAGGGAGAGAGATGTGGGTCTCTGCTGAAAAAAGAGGAGTTAGGAGCGTTGAATGGGTACCCTGAGGTGTAATATAGCTACCATTTCCCTGAACTGTGAAAACTTCTTTTACGTATGTTAAATATGTTGGTTAAACCAACCATAGTTTTGACTGAATATCATATATACTGCATGTTACATTTAAAATTCTAGTAAGAACTGTTTGTTTCAGGGAGCCACAATTGGAATAATTCAGCCTTTCACTTCCAGGTCACCATTAAGAGCATAAGAATGGCAAAAGGTCCAGTTAACCCAGTATCTAGCAGTGGCCAGGTCCAGGTGCCCCAGAGGGAATGAACGGAACAGGTAATCATCAAGTGACCCATCCCCTGTCACCTAGTCCCCGCTTCTGGCAAACAGAGGCTAGGAATACCATTCCTATTCAGGGACCTATCCTTCATTAACTTATCTAGTTCTTGTTTAAATTCTGTTTTAGTGTTGGCCTTCACAATATCCTCTGGCAAGGAGTTCCACAGGTTGACTTGTATTTTTTACACAATACTACTTTTTGTTTGTTTTTAAACCTGTTACCTATTAATATCATTTGGTGAAATTAATTTATTTTCAAAGCAGACCAAAAACTGTAGTTGCCATGTGAACAGGGCAGTCCCAATGCATATGCAAAATATGTGGCTGGGGAGGGGAAGTGAAATGAGGACCGCTCTGATCACCTTTGTTGCCTGGTACCTGTCCAGCTCCTTCTCCCAGCTGCTCTCTCTTACCAGCAATAGAGCTTCTCCCTGCCTCCCTCAGCCCAGTGCTAGTGAGGGTTCCCTTCTCCCAGATTCAGAGCAGAGAGGAGCCCTCAGTCTCTGCAGCTCTTATCCAGCCCTATGGAATGCCTCAAACCCAGGTAGAAGCCACACAGTGAGGCGTCACCCCAGATGTCTAATAGAAGTGGGGTGGGGAAGGAAGCCCTGAGCTCCAGTTGTGCGGAGGTCAGGGCTCAGTTGCGTAGGGCCCATAAAGTGTAAGGATGGCCCTGCATGTGCAAGTTCTTCTTCGAGTGCTTGCTCATGTCCATTCTGATTAGGTGTACACGCGCCGCGTGCACGGATTCCGGAGCTTTTTTCCCTTAGCAGTATCCATAGGGCCAGCAGCGAGCCCCCTGGAGTGGCGCCAGTATACTGGTGCATATATACCCCTGCTGGCCCCTCCACCCCCTCAGTTCCTTTGGAGCATGCTTTCAGGCTGTTAGCCTATCTCTTAGCAGTTGTATTTCCTTTATTTGTTGTATTATAGTTCTATTTGAAGTTTTATCTAGTTAAGTAGTTAAGTACTATACATAGTGTAATTAGTTAGATAGGGGAGCACAGCGGGACTCTCACTGTGAGGGGAGGGCATGCCAGGGCCCCAGGGCTTCAAACCCTGTGCTTCCTGCTCTAAACCTATGCCCTGTGGAGATCCCCACTCCGACTGTCTGAAGTGCCTGGGAGAGGCCCATCGAGCCGAAAGCTGCTCTATCTGTAAGAGCTTTAAGCCCCGGACCAAGAAGGAGAGGGACTCCCGGTTGAAACTCCTATTAATGGAGTCGGCACTGCAGCCCCAGGGCAAGGAGCGCCCTCACTCCTTTCGCAGCGCGCCGTCGGTGGCACCCGTGTCGGCCAAGCACCAGTCTGAGGCTGACAAGGCACCGAGGCACAGATCGCAGTCCCCAGTGCCGAGGGGCTCCAAGGGCTCGAGGGGATGCTCAGCAGAGAGGAGTGCCCAGAAGGTGCGCCCTAAGGAGGGGCACCTGTCTTTGAGGCTGACAAGGCACCGAGGCACAGATCGCAGTCCCCAGTGCCGAGGGGCTCCAAGGGCTCGAGGGGATGCTCAGCAGAGAGGAGTGCCCAGAAGGTGCGCCCTAAGGAGGGGCACCTGTCTTCTAAGGCCTCGAAGAAGAGGCACAGCCCAGACAAGGGCAAGAGCCCGGAGCAGCGCACGGGGATAGAGGAGGCCTGTCGTCCCTCCACCCCAGAAACTTTCGAGGTGGCCCAGGACCTCATTGAGATGGCCGCAGAGGAAGGAGAGGGTCCGGACCGTGCCGGCGCCAGGCTCAAGCGCTCCCCAGCAGACTATGGCAGCCAGGCCGTGGGACTTTCTGGGCAAGGTGCAGGTCTCGGCCCAGCACCAACAGCAATTTCTGGTGCCGGCAAGAACACTGGCACCGGAGCTGGGACAAACACCGGCCTCGACTCCGAGCCCCTACCTGGCAGCACCGGTAGTGGCACCAGGAGCAAGTGCGCTTGCGGCACCGACAGCCCCGATACCTGGGCACCCGATGGCCTTTACGGCACCGGTGCAGGGGCCAGCACCACAGAGGGGCCTGTGGGTGGTGCAGGGCCCCGCACCGTATTATGTGCCGACTACGGCACCACAGCCCGTGCCCCGCACGGCACTGGCGATTCTGCCTCTCCCTGCACTGATCCCAGCTCACACCAATGGGAGCGCCAACTCAGCAGCAGACTGCGGTGCCACAGCACGTGGCGGCACCGGTTGGATACTTACCGGCCTACCAAATGCAGCTGGGCACGGTACCACCGCAGCAAGTGCCTCCACTTATGCCCCCGCCGGCAGCGCATGTGGAACACAGGGGCAAGCCATCGGCCATGGCGGCGCAGCGAAGGGTGCAAGCGTCCTCGCCCCCCTCCCCCCCTCCGGTCGGCATCAGACTATTCGTCGGAGTCCGAGGCTGAATCGGTGACATCAGCCCGGTCATCTTACAGGTCCCGATCCCACCATAGGTCTCGTTCATCGGTTAGATCAAGTCACCGGGAATCAGCAGACCAGCAGCAGTGGCAGGGACAACCCCAGTGGACATTCTGGATGCCCTGGGCTTACCACCAGGCCCAGGGGCTTCCTCCTACGGTGTTGGTGGCCAGGTCGTCCCGAAGGAGTAGCACCCCATCAGCCACCCCATTAAGAGCCCCTCCGCCTGGAGACGGCCCGTCCATGGCGACGATGCCTAGACCTCAGGTAGTTGGTCAAGGGCAGGAGGCTACGACCCAGCTGGGCTCGGCCCATATGGACTTTTCGGCCGAAGGGGAACCGGAGGCGCAGCTCGGTGAGGAGGAGGTAGTCCCCCTGAGAGAGTTCTCGTCGTCATCACCGGACAATGCTCTGGTGGACTCCGCACCTCAGCCCCGTTCAATGGACGCAAGGGTGCACCAGGAGGAGAGAGTTCTCGTCATCTTCACCGGATGAGGCCCTGACGGACTCCGCACCTCAGCCCCCTTCAATGGACGCAAGGGCGCACCAGGAGCTGCTCCGAAGGTTGGCGGTCAACCTAGCGGTCCAGCATGAGGAGGTCCACGAGGACCAAGATCCTATGGTGGATATTTTGGCGGCAACGGGCCCTGGTTGAGTGGCGCTTCCACTGAATAAAATGGTGGACAAACTGTCGAAAACCCTGTGGCAGATGCCAGCCTCCATTGCGCCGACCCAAAAGGGGGTCGAGAGGCGGTACTACGTACCCCAAGCAGGGCACGAGCATCTGTTCAACCACCCGGTGCTGGGATCGATAGTAGTGCAGGCCATGGGGCAGAAAGAGCGTCAAGGCCCCCAGGTCCTACCCCAAAGGTGAAAGAGCCCAAGAAATTGGACCTGCTTGGCTGGAAGGCCTACGCGTAGGGGCCCTCGGTCAGACTCCGAGAGAGGCACAGGGCCGTCACCCGGCCACCAAACTAAGCCCTCATTTTGACGGTACGCCAGAGAGCAGAGTACCAGTCGCACCTACCTATCCACTCTTTGGGGACCGTGTCTCCCTCTTTTACCAGGAACGGATAAAGATCACATCGGACCGCTGGGTCCTAGACCTGGTAAAGCAGGGGTATACTATCCCCTTCCTTTCCTACCCTGCCCCCCACCCTCCCTCCCTTTCCCTCTTCAGTGACCCTTCTCACGAGACACTCCTTTGGCAGGAGGTGTCCAACCTGTTGTCGCTAGGGGCTATAGAAGAGTGCCCCCAGAAATGAGGGGAAAGGGTTTCTACTCCCGCTACTTCCTAGTACCCAAGGTGAAAGGGGGCATACGTCCCATATTAGACCTCCGAAACCTGAACGCCTTCATAAGGAAAGCAAAGTTCAGGATGGTGACGCTGGCTTGCATCATCCCATCGCTCCCAAAGGGGGACTGGTATGCTGCTCTGGATCTCAAAGATGCCTACTTCCACATTTCGATTTTTCCGGGTCAAAGAAAGTTCCTATGGTTCGTGGTGGGATAGGACCATTTCCAGTTTACGGTCCTCCCATTTGGGCTGTGTACAGCCCCGAGGGTTTTTACTAAATGTATGATGGTGGTAGCCGCGTTTCTGTGGCGACACAGGGTCCAAATGTTCCCATATCTGGACGATTGGCTGATAAGGGGCATGTCTCGAGAACAGGTGATAGATCACGTCACACGGGCAAGGCCATTGTTCGGGAGCCTCGGCCTCCTCATAAACGATGCCAAATTGTCATTAGACCCCACGCAGGTGATAGATTTTCTGGGGGCCCATCTAGACTCGCCCTCAGGGAAGGCGTCTCTACTGAGGGACAGATTCCTGGCTATCCGCTCGTTGGTAGCAGAGCTGCAGGAGTTTCCAACTATAACAGCAAGGACCTGTATGAGGCTCCTAGGCCACATGGCGGCGTGTACTTATGTGATCCAACATGCCAGGCTGCGCATGTGCCCATTGCATGGGTGGCTCAAAGTAGCGCACACCCTTTGAGGTCACCATTAGATGCAGTAGTGACTATACCTCCGGACATTCTTTGCTCGCTAGACTGGTGGAAGGACAAGGGCACAGTGTGTGTGGGAGTCCAATTCACCAGAGTATCCCTGTCGGCGCAGCTGGTCATGGATGCTTCAGACGTGGGATGGGGAACACACCTGGGTAGCCTCAGGACGCAAGGTATGTGGTCACCAGAGGAGGTTCCCCGCCATATAAATATCAAAGAGATGCGGGCGGTCAGGCTGGCCTGCAGGGCGTTCCTTTCCCACTTACAGAACTGAGTGGTGGTGGTGGTGGTGTTGACAGACAACACTACGGCCATGTTTTATATCAACAAGCAGGGTGGGGCGCGTTCCTCTTCCCTGTGCCGGGAAGCCCTAGATCTGTGGGAAATGTGTGTAGCCCACGGCATTTGCCTAGAGGCCTCTCACCTCCCGGGAACCAGGAACGGGCTTGCGGACAGGCTCAGTCATTTGATTCAGGCACATGAGTGGGTGCTAAGACGGGACATACTTCACGGGGTCTTCCAGAGGTGGGGGCTCCCCGTCTGGGCCTGTTTGCGACACTGAGAAATGCCAAGTGCAGGGAGTACTGTTCGTACATGGGGCACGGTCTGGGTTTTCAGGGCGATGCGCTGCAGATCAGGTGGCCCAGGGGCCTACTCTATGCCTTCCCCCCGTTTCCCCTGATCCACGAGACACTCATCAGAGTGCAGAGGTTCAGGGTCCAGGCCATCCTGATAGCGCCAGTGTGGCCTCGTCAACACTGGTTCACCACCCTGTTGGATCTGATCTTGGAGGGACCACTCAGACTACCTCTCGTGCCGGACTTAATCACACAGAGCTGTGAGGCCGGAATAGCACTTCACCCGAGCCTGTCATCTCTGCACCTAGCGGCGTGGCTCCTCAGTGGCTCTCGGTTATGGAGCGAGCCTGCTCCAGAGCAGTCCAGGAGGTGCTGTTAGAGAGCAGGAAGCCGTCCACTAGGGCCCTTTACGAGGCTAAATGGAAGAGATTTACCTCATGGCTAGGGGGCAGAACGCTCGCTCCAGGTGAAGGGGCGGTCCCGACTGTCCCGTCCACTAGGGCCCTTTACGAGGCTAAATGGAAGAGATTTACCTCATGGCTAGGGGGCAGAACGCTCGCTCCAGGTGAAGGGGCGGTCCCGACTGTCCTGGAATACCTCCTCCATCTTTGGGAACAGGGCTTGGCCACAGCCTCCTTGAGGGTACACCTGGCAGCTATAGTGGCTTTTCACACCAGGGAGGGTCAGAGGTCTATCTTTGCTAATCCCATGGTTAAGAGGTTTCTGAAGGGAATTGACAGGATGATGCCTTATGAGAGACCGCCGGTCCCGACTTGGGACCTTAACCTGGTCCTGACTGCCCTTATGAAGCCGCCTTTTGAGCCTCTGGTGTCATGCTGTCTGAAGCACTTGTCCTACAAGGTAGCTTTCCTCATGGCCATTACCTCAGCCAGGAGGGTGTCAGAGCTTAGGGCGCTGACTTCAGAACCGCCCTACACGGTGTTCTTTAAAGACAAGGTGAGGTTGCGTCCACACCCGGGTTTCTTCCCAAAGTTGTTTCGCATTTCCATCTCTCCCTGGATATTTACCTACCAGTTTTTTACCCCAAGCCACACGCATCACCCAGGGAACAGGCTTTGCACTGCCTGGATGTTAGGAGGGCGTTGGCTTTTTACATAGACAGGACGCAAGGGTTTCACAAGTCATTTCAATTGTTTATTTCAGTGGCGGAAAGAATGAGTGGGTTGCCAGTCTCAGCGCAGCGTATATCCTCGTGGATTACTTCCTGCATTCGGCTATGCTACGAGGGCATGGGTAGGTCACTGCCGCGCATAACAGCACATTCCACGAGAGCCCAGGCAATGTCGGCGGCGTTCCTTGCCCATGTGCCGATATTGGAAATCTGCAGGGCAGCAACCTGGTCGTCGGCACATACTTTTGCGGAGCATTATGCGATTACGCAACTGGCCAGGGAGGATGCTGCCATCGGGAGGGCAGTTCTGAGATCTGCAGAAGGATAATTGGGTAGTTAGTTACCTTCCAACCCCGCCTCCGGAGGGGGGACATGGCTAGGGATTCACCTAATCTGAATGCTCGAAGAAGAAGAAGAGGTTATTTACCTCGTAACTGTAGTTCTTCGAGATGTGTTGCTCATGTCCATTCTGCATCCCACCCACCTCCCCGTGTCGGAAGGAGCCGGCAAGAAGGAACTAAGGGGGTGGAGGGGCCAACATGGGTATATATGCACCGGTATACCGGTGCCACTCCAGGGGGCTCCCTGCTGGCCCTATGGATACTGCTAAGGGAAAAAAGCTCCGGAATCCGTGCACGCGGCGCGCGTACACCTAATCAGAATGGACATGAGCAACACATCTCGAAGAACTACAGTTATGAGGTAAATAACCTCTTCTATTATTAAATGAGTTGGATGTCCCACTTCATTGGATGGCTCTCAGGACTGAATGGGTATGAAAGCTGAAACACTTTCTCATCCCAACAGATGTTCTTCCATGAACAGGGTTAAGACACATTGATGGAGCAGTGTAGGGATGCTTGCTGTACTGCTGCCAGTGCTATGCCTGCCTGAAACAAATAGTTTCTGTCTCCAATTCTGTCAAGTCAATTTCTTTCATAAGCTGTACAGTCATTTAGCATTCCTTTATAATGAAGATATAATTATATTGATATTTTTGTTAAAGCAGTTTTTATATTCCAGATTTCCTAAGCTGGAATTCCATTGTCACCAAAATGCTGTACTGTGGTGTGCTTGGGTTGGTAAAGGCTTAGTGATGGTAAACAATGAAATGTGAAACACTCCTATGAGAGTATTTTAAGTATTCACTGCAGTCATCCACAGTGTAGAATTCCCTACAGTGCCTTTCCAATGTCTGCATTAAACTAGAGTGAGAAGCAAAGCATCTAGGGGTGACTTTTTAAACCCAGTGCAATGTTATAGCTGCAAGCTGAGGCAGACAGCAATTTTGGTCCATTCCTCCAGCTTGTGCCTCACACCAACAGAAAAAAATGCCTTTTGTGCTGTTTTGTGATGTAGACAAGAGATTCCCAGAAAAAGGTTTATTTCTGTTTATTTTTATATTGAGAGTATCAGACATATTCCATCTTCTCTTTGTATTTTTTATCCAGGCCTCTTTGGGTGACCAGAACAAGAGTAGATGCCTTCAAACCTTCCATCCTTTTCTTTTGTTATTAGAATGGAAGTTAACTTTCTGATGCAGTTGCATATATTATAGACAAGGGAAAAAAGGCATGTGTTTGATTTTTCTCTCTGCTGTTATGGGGCAATGAAGCTGCCCTCCAAAATACTTTAGTTTTGGGACTTATGATTAGTCTTTTATTTGAGAATCCCGGGGTGATGGGCCCTTTTGAGAGCTTCTGGGATCGTCTACTTATTCTCTTTTCAAGGTAGCAGATGTCACGGTGTTGGTCACAGTGTAAATACGAGGTTCTGAGTATTATAATATGGTAACTGGTATTTCTAATTCATAGAATATTTCTCCAAACATGTTATGTATAGATGAAATAGCATTTTACCATTTTTAAAACTTATATCCCTAAATGTTTCCCACTCTAGACTCCTTATCTCTCTCTCTGTCACTCACTCATTCTCAGTTAAATCTGTGTTTCTTTCTCAATTCTTTTTCCTTGGAATCTCCACCTCCTTCGGTCTCTTTACCACTTAGTCCTTTTCCTCCTTCTTTCAATCTGAAATGTTACACTGTCACTTCCAGCTTATGTTTAATCCTATATGAGCCTGGTTCATCTGCAACCTCCAGATCATGTGTTACCCTGTCCCTATCAAAGCCAGTCCATGTGTTCTCTATGTAGCTGTACTTCCCAGCCACCCCAGCCCATGTGAATTTTTTTCCCTAAGGCTTTAATAGTGAGGGTTGGTCTTTAGAGTTTTATTCTTTCTTACAGAAAGAAGAAGCACAATAGCCCCTCCTAGCTGGAGGTTAGAAGAATAGGATAATCTCTCCCACCCAACAAGCCTGCCAGTGCTGGAGGCTGAGCTAGTGGAGGCTGTGGGAGAGAACTGGGGAGGTGAAGAGCATGCTCACACATGAATGGTCCTGACAGCACTAACTTCCTAAAAGTTTAGTTATTCAAATCCAAGGTAAAATGTTGTTAGGTCCTTTGCTGACAATTTTGCATTCTACATTACAATTCCAAACAGGATAGGATAGACTTCAACTAAGATGTAAGATGACTGAAGTAGAATATGGGAGAAGACTGTACAAATGACTGTTGCTCAGAATAGAAATGTTTATGAATTACACTCTTGTGTTAGTAGTTATAAGGTCAAAGGATATAAATATTTAGATGGACTTGTACTAGTGATGGATTGATTATGTTGGCATATAAAGCAGAGTAAGGACTAAGAAGGCTTTCTTAAGTGCTATACCATTTTAAGATTTATTTATACATTTGCTGGCATACTTTTCTCTGTTTGTGTCATTATAGAACATCCAGCTTCCTTATGGGACCCGTCTAACTAATTTTTAATTAATATATTAAAGGCCATTCAAAGGAAAGCTACTATGTGACTAATAAAAACCAGACTCAAGTGTTTTACTCAAATTATGACAAAAGTATATAGGTTTCCCTTATGTGGGTACAACTAATAATGTTAAATATTTCTTTTGATATATAATTTCTATGGCTGTCAAGTGATTAAAAATTAATTATGATTAATCACTCAATCATGCAGTTAATATTAGAAAAACATTCATTTAAATATTTCTGGATGCCTTCTACATTTTCAAATATGTTGACTTCGATTATAATGCAGGATACAAAGTGTACAGTGCTCACTTTATATTTATGTGTTACAAATATTGGTATTGTACAGTTTTTCAAATCAACTTGTACTAGTATTGCAGTGCAGTCTCTTATTTATGAAAGTTGATCTTGCAAATATAGAATTATCTAAAAAAAACCTGCATTCAAAAATAAAACAATGTAAAACTTTTGAGTGTAGAAAGTCCACTCTGTCCTACTTCTTGTACAGACAATGGCTCAAACCTACGCAGGAGATAATGCTGCCTCCTTATTTACAATGTTATCTGAAAGTGAGAAGAGTCACATGACATTGTTATAGACAGCATTGCAAGATATTTATTTGCCAGATCCAGGGAAGATAATGGAACAAGTAGTTAAGGAAATCATCTGTAAACACTTGGAAGGTGGCAAGGTGATAGGGAACAGCCAGCATGACTTTGGTTTGACATGATTTGTTCTTTACAATCTGATAGCTTTCTTTGATAGGATAACGAGTTTTGTGGATAAGGGAGAAGCGGTAAATGTGGTATACCTAGACTTTAGTAAGGCATTTGATATGGTCTCGCATGATATTCTTATCAATAAACTAGGCAAATACAACTTTGACCGGAGGCGCCGCCCAGGACTCCCCCGGACCTTGACCCTGAGGCCTGGCCCAGCTGTTCGACACTGCCAGCACCAGGATCCCAGCTGAGCTCCACTGACCTGCAAGTGGCAAAGGACTGGACTGGACCGCTCCGGTGGGATAAGACCCTCCTGTACTCCCTGCCTCTGCCGCCCGACACCCAGGTACCAACCGAGGGGGAGAATGGAAGTGGCCCAGAGGTTAGTGGGGTCTGTTAAAGGCCCCAAGTCCAGCGCGTTTCATTCTGGAGCCCCGCGCTGAGCCATAGCAGCCTGCATTGGTGCTCCTAGGGCCCTGGGCTGGGGTGCAGTGGAGTGGGCGGGCCTGCACCCCCCCTGCCACCCACCTGCTGGGTGGCAGTCTCCCTCCTCGCCACTGTCACAGGCAAGTAGCCTGAAATCCTCCTGAACAAGGAGCTCCCAACCTGCTTTTGTTGGCCTGCCCTGACTGAGGGCCAGGTCCTTTCACAACTGACTGTGATTGTTTGTTTGTTTGTTGCCTGCCCGGACTGAGGGCCAGGGCCTTCCCAAACTGACTCTGTGTTTGTTTGCTGCCATGCCCTGAACCAAGGCCTGGCTCGCTCTTAACTGACAAGCTTTGTTTGCTGCCATGCCTCGAACCAGGGGCCTGGTCTAACTGGCTGTGGCTGTGGGTTGCCCTGCCCTGAACGAGGGCTGGACCTATCTGTAACGGTGTTTGGTTGCGGGCCTGCCCTGAACTCGGGCCTGGCCCACCAGTAAACTTGACTCTGGTGTGCCTATTGCACGCCCTGAACCAGGGCTTAGCCGAACCCCAAACAGACATGGTGAACTGGCTGCCCACCCTGAACCAGGGTTGGGCGTGGGTAAAGATACGGACAGTGTTTGTGCCGCCCGCCTGAACGAAGGCCGGGCGTGAACTGGGGCTTGCCTTAACGGGGCAGTGTAGTGGGCCGGAGTGGCCGCCCACTGACCCGGAGGAGGAGGAACCCCTCTGGGCAGGCAAATTAACTACACTAAGACAATACCATCTCACTTCTGAGCTGTAGCTGTCTGTTCTACTGAGTTATTGAAAATTAGGACAAAAATCATATAGTAGAAAAGTCAGTGTTTTGCCCCTTAACCTCTCTCTCATCTACTTATATTCTTGTTTTAGGCTACAAACTGTTTATATTATTCTGAAATTACTTTCAGGGATTTAGCAATGTTAGGGAAGACTTGTATTTTTTTAAACAATAAAGTGTATTCAGTGCTGTCACTTTATTAACTGTCCCTTGGATATAAAATGCTGCTTCAAAGAACACTAGCTGACAAAATTTGAATATATTAAGCAAAATCATAGTTTTTATTTAATACCCCTTAATGCTTTCTGTAAGGATATAGACCCTAATTCAGTATTTTAATAATCTAACTAAGAGCAGTAAAATTTCACGTTGCTAGTCTATTGGTTAATAAAATATACTCATGAAAAAATTGAAGTATTCAAGCCCTTTTACTTTGCCATGACCCTGTGAGCTGTAATTTTAAGTACTTGTTTTCTTCCAGAGCTGTCTATCATAGGTTGTCTAGTACTCTGTTAAGTGCAACAAGCATTTATCCCTGCTGCAGTGTTTTTAGAATTGTACATAGCAATTTGCATAAACTGTTATGTTTTCCGAGAGAGGGAAAACCAGAAATGTTTAATATTTTTTTACAATAATCTTTGTTTTGTCAGCAGAAGTGTGCTGTGCTGTGCTGTGCTAGGTCTCACTTTCACACTACATTAAAACAAACAGAGGAATGCAAATAAAGTAAATTCAGTTGGTTTTATAATGAGCTCCCACTTCCCCTTTTTTTTATACCCCCACAGCATAAGCAAAGAGTGCAAATTAAGTGGAGAATCAGTACTGCAGCATAATATGCAAGTACAGCTTTTGAATTGTCATGCTGCAATGAGTTAGTGTATTGAATAACACTTCGGATTAAGGTTCTCTCCTGTAGCACTTGGAACAGGTGGAGAGTGCACACTACCAAGCCCATTATTTCCAAATAAGGGGCTGGTTATTTCAAAATAACAACACCCACTTTCCATGAGGAATAATGCTAATTCTGAAAGAGTTATTTCAAAATAATGTTAGTGTGCATACTCTAGTGCCGCTATTTTGAAATAACTAATCCCCAGAGTAATTCAAACTACTCCCCATTGCTTCCTGGGGCTCTAAGTTGAGGTAGTACATCAACATTAGGGGAGCCTGCCTCAGACTAATTTCGAGGCTTTCCCATAGTGTGGACATGCTATTTTGAAATTATTATTTGGGGAGTTATTTCAATATGTTATTTTGAAATAATTTCTTAGTGTAGACATGCCTTCAAAGTGGTAAACTCAATGTGATTTGCAACTGGAGAAATTTTGGTTGATTTTTATAGAAATGCCATAATTGAATTGTTTCTGAATAGTGTTTGAAAATGACAATATGATTTCCTAGACAATATCTGCTTAAATTTAATAGGGACAAAGATGAAAGACAATGCTTCATAACCTCTAGAAAATCTTGGCTCGTTGATAACTTCTAATCATGTTCCTCTCACCCCAATGGTGATTCTCGTCCTCTTTGTCTCTCAACTTTCTCTGTATACAGAAATTCTTAGTGAAAAGATGGAATGTGACTCCCATATTCAGGAGCAGCCCGAGGCCAGCTGTAGCAGCTGGCGCCCAGGCAGAGTGCGTGATCAGTGCCCCCGCCTGCAGGGCCATCAATGGACTGGCATAATCGGCGGGTGCCCCGTGACATCATCATCGGGCACCCTGGGCGGCGGTCGAGTCCGCCTACAGCCACGGGCCACTCCTGCCCATATCTACTTGAACCAAATTTTAAGATCCTTAGTAGATAACAACCGCATAAGGAGGATTTAGAGAGGTCTCATTGCTGTATTTTTATGCTTGTTGGTAGAAAAGTGGTGTCTGTTTAAGCTACTATAAAATGATCAAGTCAGGTCAACTAGGAAAGGAGAATAGAACAATATCCAGAATAAATTCAGTTTAAAATGTGGCTTTAATGTCTTACCCTCTTCACTTAACTCAGTAGGATTGTCTGTTATATTTAAACTATTGTTTCCTTGCTATTGTGGGGGCCGCTGGCTTCGGTGTTCCGTCATCCCTCCTATTCTCTGCCTGTGATACATAATAGGGGTACATAATAGTCCAGTCATGGGCAGCTGGTGAAGGTAGGGGTGGGGGAGGCAAGTCCCCAGTCCCGGCCCTTCCATTGAGGCCCAGCCCCCCATGGAACCCAAGCTGCCTCCCCGCCCTCCTTACCAGGGTGAGACAGGGCATCATGTTGCGTACCCCCCACTACCATGGAGAGAGGAGGAGGGCATGCCCCAGCCTCTCTGACCCCAGAGCATAGAGAGGGTGGGCGGTGGGTGGCCCCAGCTTCCCCAGCTAGGAGTACTGTTAGAGCAGGCACTGGGGGCAGCAACACTCCGCCCCCTGTACACCTACAGCAGGTGGTCTGGGGGTGGAATATGGGTGGGGCCAGGCTGGCAGTTTGGGAAGGCTGTGCCTTCCCGCACCTGTTATACCTGACGCCTGTGAGTCCAGTCTCCTATCAATAATAATATTTTGATCTAATTTTGGTTGCTGTGTTTAGCAGGCTCACCAACAGGGGGAGCAAAGGGAACAATTGCAACGGATTTAGGTTGGCTATTACAAAAAACTACCCAGAATTGTAATTAAGCATTGGAATAGGCTTCAGAAGTAGCTGTGGAATCCCTCTCATTGTAGGTTTTTAAGAACAAATTGGACAAACACATGTCAGGAAAGGCCTCAGATTACTTGACCCTACCTCGGTGCAGTGGGTTGGTGTAGATGAACTTTCAAGGAGTCTTATACTTTTATGATTCTGTGATTGCTGCAAAAAGATCTTTTAGGCTATAACAGGGACTAATACAGTACCGCCAAGTCCACACATTCAAAAATCCATAATCAGCTCCTTCCATCCCTTGTTCTCCCAAATGGCTTAAAATCAGAGATTTTCAAAATAATTAATTTGGGGTTCTTTCTATTTGTCTTATGTTTTCTGATTCTTTTCAGGTTCTCACTTTGAAGCTTTTCTCTGCAGTCATATGGATTTTTTTTTAATGAAAGCTGAAATACAGTCACCTGACTCCAGGAATCTGGGGCTTTAATAAAATGCCAACTGTTGTGAGACTTGTGGTGTTAGCAAAACGGTAATAGATTTTCCATATGTGGATAGGAAAAGAACATTAAACACAGGTTGGTTTAATTTAGAAGTACACTGATCTATTGTTCCCCCCTGGCTCCAGAGAGAGCAGTATCTGAGTTAGAAAGATATAAATAGAGAGAATAAATGTATCCATATGAGCCATAGCTGTCTACCTGGGAAGAAATGGGAGTACTGTATAGAAAGTAGATCTATAATTATACAGATCTGCTCTTCAAAATCAGTTCTACAGAGGACTTAAGGTTGTGACATTACTAGAACTTTGTGGCCAGGGAAGAAGAATTAAGTGGAGGGGGACTCCATGTCTTCCAAGCTCCTATAGACATCCTGATTGCAGTTTTTATGGGATTGTTTGTTTCAATTTGTTTTTTTGGAACCAAAATGTGATCCCTAGTGTTTATAATATATGTGCCAGAATAGTCTCATGGTGCCAACCAAACACGTAGATAAATTCTTGAAATTGTCTTAGCCATCCAGAAAAACAAAAACATCATTTATTTATGCAAAACAGTTTACACATGTACTAGAGTTGGCAAGAATGTCTCTGAATTTCAGTGAATGTGACATCTTTGCTAAGTTCCTCACACTTGTAGGTTTTTGCTAAAGATCAATGTGGTTATGAAAGATTGCTGTTACAGTTGCACATTTTTAAAAATGCTTATGCTTATACTTAAATACACACTGATTTTAGAACTGATGCCCAGGTAAATATGGGTTATAATTATTTTTAAACCACTTTTCATAGGAGTTGTCAAGAGTAATGTAGTTCTTCACATGAAAGCAAGTTAAGGATATGAAAAACATTACAGCAGCATTAGCTCAGAATAACTGTGAAGAACATGAAAATATAATACACTAGAGAGATGCAGTTTAATATTTCCCGAACTGATTCAAAATGGAAGGTTTCAGAATAGTTCAATAAAATGAAATATTCCTGTTCAGATCTAACTGAGCAGAAATAAA